GGATTATTGCTTTATTTGAGAGCAATCGCAGAGCAATATGTTAATGAAACTCAATAACATGGGATTAAACCATTGTGCAAAAACCAGGCTTTGAGGTAGGGACAGATGTGGCTTAGTGGAGAACTGAGGAGAGAAGAGTAAGAGCATGCCTGGGTGGACTGGTGGCCTTGGAGAACTCTGCAAAGCAAGGTGGCCCTGCAGAAGTGGAGGAGAGCCTGTGTGGGGCCCACTGAGGGAAATGACAGTCCTCAGCTGGAGAAACTCTAAGGGCTGCAGTATCAGGAGGATGGTGCATCTGACGGGAAAGGCTGTGTTGCCAGGCTGAGGAAGGGAGGAAGTTGGACCCGTGGCTTCTTAAATAGTACAGTGATATTACCACAGTGATTGCTGAAAGTTATTCTGCAAGTGGCATATAGGGGAATTAGACCAGGGAAAGATGTTGGCATGGTATCCTAGGAAGCTATTTTAAATAATCCAGGCGTGAGATGGCAAGAGCTGTAGGATAAAAAGAATCTGAATGTGTAATCTCTTAGGTTTATGTGGAATTTCAAAGTTCCCAAAGTGCATTCTCATACATTATCTAATTTACCTAGTTAGAGCCTTTCAACCTTTTTTTTTTTTTGAGTTGGAGTCTCACTCTGTCACCCAGACTGGAGTGCAGTGGCCATTCCCTGCTACTGCAGCCTCCACCTACTGGGCTCTGGCGATCCTTCCGCCTCAGCCTTCCGCCTCAGCCTTCCAAGTAGCTGGAACTATAGGCACGCGCTATCACGCCCGGCTAATTTTTGATTTATTGTAGAGATGAGGTCTCGCCAAGTTGCCCAGGCAGGTCTCGAACCCGCGGGCTCAGGCAATCCACTCACCTCAGCCTCCCAAAGGCGTGGGATTACAGGCTGAGCCACTGAGCCCGGCTCCTTTTTTTTTTTTTTTTTTTTTGAGTGGCAGTCTCTTTCTGTTGCCCAGGCTGGAGTACAGTGGCGTGCTCACGGCCACCTCAGCCTCGACCTGCTGGGTTCAGGCGATCCTTCCACCTCAGCCTTCCAGGTAGCTGGAACCACAGGCACACACCACCATGCCTGGTTTGATTTATTGTAGAGATGAGGTCTTACCAAGTTGCCCAGGCTTGTCTTGAACCCGTGGGTTCAGGCAGTCCTCTCGGCTCTGCCTCCCAAAGTGCTGGAATTACAAGCATGAGCCACCACTCCCGGCCTTTCAACCTTTTTTATGAATGAGGATATAGAGGTTTAGAGCAGTTGAGCAACCTGTCCAAAAGTTGTTAATGACAGCCTCACCTACTGTTCAGTGCTTTCCAATCATGACAAATCATTTTTTTCCCATTTCTGGTGAAATTCTTGCTTTCTAAAACATGTTACCTATCTTAGGTCCCTGCTGGCTTTTTTCCTGTTTTTCCTGTGTTGTGCTAACTTGACTGTGTTCTACAACACTTGTCCATTAACTGGCCCTTGACAGCAGTGTAAGCAAAAGCTAAAAACCATAGTTTACAACTCTTATAAACATTGAAAACCTTTGAATGGTGAAAATGGTTAAGTATCACCATTTTTTAGAACTTACTCAAATAACTGAAAGGTAGCTTTCTAACAAATACAAGAAAACAACATGCTAGGTCAGTAGAATGTTTTTGAAGTGTTTTAAATGAATAAAGAGTGAGACTTTAAGGGAGCCTCAAAATGACTTTGCTGAATGAAGGTGGTCATGTTGCCCAGGACTTCCAGATACAGGCAAAATCCACCTTAAAAGAACAGGAGTTACCACTTAATAAGCCAGAATAAGAAAAGTATTCACTGAGCAGACATTTTGGTATATGCCATCTTTTATTTAAAATGTGAACGAACTATTAAATGGTAAAATGTTGGACATTAGCCTTTTAGTTGAGTGAGGTATTCAGGTATACAGTAGGCATTGTGAAAGTCATAATTATTTTTCTTTTTTATTGTGGTAAAAAACACTTAACATAAAATGTACTATCTTAACCATTTAAAAATATACAGTAGTGTTGAGTGTATTCACATTGTTGTACAACAGATCGCCAAAACGGTTTCATCTTGCAAACCTGAACTCTGTGCCTATTAACTTCTTCCCTCTAGCCCCTGGTAACTACCATTCTACTTTCTGTTTCTATGGATTTGGAAAGTCAATCATACATTTTAAGAAGAATGTTAATCTCAAGAAACATTTACTGATTACCTACCAGGTGTTGGCCACTGTTCTTGATGCTAGGACAAAAAAGAGAAAAAGAATAGCTGAGAGGGGGGAAGGGAAGGGAGATGGGATAAATGGTAGTAAACATCTGTCTGGGGACGGGGAGACACCTCTTATCAACAAGGGTACCTGAACGAAGCATATTTGTATACCTAACCCTTAGCTGTACCCCACAATATCATAATAAAAAATACTGATTTAAAAAAAAAAAAAGGAATAGCTGAGAGTCGGGCTCAGTGGTTCAGCCTGTAATCACGCTCTTTGGGAGCCTGAGGTGAGTGGATTGCCTGTGCCTGCGGGTTTGAGACCCGCCTAGGCAACTTGGCGAGACCTCATCTCTACAATAAATCAAAAAATCAGCCAGGCGTGGTAGCGCACGCCTGTAGTTCTAGCTACTTGGAAGGCTGAGGCGGAAGGATCGCCGGAGCCCAGCAGGTCGAGGCTGCAGTGGCCAGGAGCGTGCCACTGCACTCCAGTCTGGGCGACAGAGTGAGACTCCAACTCAAAAAAAAAAAAAGAATAGCTGAGCATTCCTAGAGAATCTTTGTGACACTGGATTTGGAAGTATATATAATGTAAATCACAACAAAACCCATGTCTGTTAATTCTTGAATGAGTGATGGCGACAGCAAATTCTGTGAGATGTTAGCAATGACATTCATGCCATGGGTAAGCTTTATTTCCACCAGTGCAGACCCTTCAGGGAAGGAGAAAATGTGAGTCAGATAGCCTGGTATCAGATTGCATTTGTTAACAAACCATGGTTATTAGTGAGGGGAAAGGGTGATGGAGAAGCTGTTCTGCAAGATTCGCTTGGGTGTGATTGCTGTCTGTTTCCAGATTCGCAAGAACACCTCCAGAGCCTCCCTGAGGGAAAATTACCAAACAGGAGAAGCAGAAAATCCGACTGGTGTATGCCTATACATTAGATAAAGCTGGAGCTGGGAAGCAGCCTTTGTTTATATGAAGAAAGATTTTAGTAACAAAACAGTTGAAGGCACCCTCCCCCCTACAAAAAACAAAAACAAAAAAGAATTGCAGTTAATGTTTAAGTCACTATAGAGGATTCGTAATTCACGTGTTTTCTTGAAATGTCTCAGAAAGCACTTTATGGGGTTCTATATAGAATGCAAAAGAATGGAACAATCTAAAGCAAAGCTGAGTAGCCAGATCATAAGGATTTAGCAAATTGCAACTGAGTTGTGTTCACAGCTAGTCTCCTCAGAAAGCTTATTCCTCACTTATAATGGATCATATTGATACTTGTCAAGGGCTTTGTGGTTCTTTGCAGTTGAAATTGATAAATAGGCTGGGCTCGGTGACTCAGCCTATAATCCCAGCACTTTGGGAGGCCGAGGCGAGAGGATTGCCTGAGCCGGTGGGTTCAAGACCCACCCGGGCAACTTGGCGAGACCTCGTCTCTACAATAAATCAAAAACTAGCTGGGCATGGTAGCGTGCGCCTGTAGTTCCGGCTTCTTGGAAGGCTGAGGCGGACCCCAGCCGGTGGAGGCTGTGGTGGCCGGGAGAGTGCCACTGCACTCCGGCCTGGGCAACAGAGTGAGAGACTCCAACTCAAAAAAAAAGAAAGAAAGAAAGAAATTGATAAATAAGTTCTGAGCTCCCATAGTAGGAGAAAATAGGTGAGGGTGGGGCTGACATTTTGAAGTGTGAAAGCCTCAAATGACTTACATGCTACCTGTCAAGCCCCTTTGAGTGCTTCTTAAGTTTGGCTTCAGGGTAGACTCACCTGGGAAGCTTTTAAAATGACTGGTGCCCATGTCCTGCGCTTGACCAGTAAATCAGAATCTCAGCATTTCGGAAAGAGGGTAGGCCTAGTCATGAGTATGTTTTTAAAGTTTCCCAGGTGTCTTAGTCCTTTCTGGCTGCTTTAACAGAATACCTGAGACTGGGTAATTTAAAATGAGGAGACATTTACTTAACGTATGGTTCTGAAGGTTGGGAAGTCCAAGGGCATGGCACTGGCATCTGGTGAGGACCTTCGTGTGCATTATCCCAGGTGGAAGAGCAGAAGGGAAAGTGAGTGCAAGCAAAAGAAAGAAAGCACACAGGCTGAACTACCTTTATAACAGGCTGCTCTAGAGATAAGAACCCACTCCCAAGATAATGACAATTCATCCAGGAGGGCTTTGCTCTTAGAACCCAATTACCCCAAAGGTTCCACTTCTTAATACTGTCATGGTGTCAATTAAACTTCAACTTGAGTTTTGAAGGGGACATTTGAACCATCGTATCAGGTACTTCTAAAACACAGCTTGGGCTAAATTCATTCTGGCTATTTCAGCTCTGACCAGTAATCAGTGGGGGAACATTTATTAAAACATATACAAAAGACTTGCTAACTGTATAAAATAGATATGCACATATTTTCTCCCTGCCAACAAATGGGCAGTGTTTTGTTTTGTTTTGTTTTTCTATCCTTAATCAGTTGCAGATACTGAAGAAACAAATGGAAGGCAATAGAGGAAGACATTTTAAGGAGGTTCCACCACTTTGTTTAGGGAAGATGGGAGTGGGTTGAGGGGTAGGCAACGTTGTTTATGTGTATTTCAGGAAGAAGAAAATATGGCGTGTTCTCAATCTATCTAAAATTATGTAACTTTGCAGGATGTGATCCATTTGTGTCAGAATAATGAGGCATATAATACATTGCATTTAACATGTATGGGAATTCTTTGCTGAATAATTAGCATTCCTTTCTTCAGTCTTTATTCAGAGGAAACATACCATTCACACCCTCTCTGTGTTCACATTTTCCAGTGCGTTGGAGAGCTTTTTTTCAATAGAAATCTTTGTCCTCTTCCTAATAAGACTTGGATTATATTTGAAAAAACTTAGCATATCTTTCTTTGTTTTTCTGACAGGAATTGATTTTAAAATCAGAACGATAGAACTAGATGGAAAGAAAATTAAGCTTCAGATATGGTAAGTAAAAAAAAAAATTACACAGAGTTTCTACTTTAATTGGGAATTGAAAGTGGAAATTAAAATGTGAATTGTGATGTTAGAGGCATCCTGTGATAGCTAAAACATCTTCTCTAGATCAGAACCAAGGGGAATGGCTAAGTATTGAGCATCTTTCAAAGGGTTCTCCACCAAGCATGAAAGGTGAGAGCTGTTACTGACTGCTGGAGCCAGAAGAGATCTGATAGCTCATTCTTCCAAACCTCTTAATTTGGCAGGGCACTGAATTCCTCTTCATCACAGTCCTTGCAGGTTTGAAACCAGAGAAGCCATCAGGTCACATCGAAGGAACCCTGAGCAGAAAATACAGAGTTAGTTTCTAGCCATAGCACCTCTATATAGAAGGCTTCGGGCTGGTTACTTCCCTTCTCAGGGTCTACTTCTCCTCATTTGTAAATTGGTTGAATTGATGACACTGGAGTTTGCCTCCAGCTCTGATATTTTATAATATGTTTGCATATTTCTTCTTATTAAATAGAAAAATAAAGACTATTTGGTAAATAAAGGAGAAAAAAAGTCATGTCTTAGTTCAGGCTGCTCTGTAATAAATTTTTCAAAGTATTTTTTTTCCCCCATACATAGCACAACACTTCTGATACTCGATGTGTGGGGTTTCTCTCTCTCTCTCTCTCTCTCTCTCTCTCTCACACACACACACACACACACACACACACACACACACACACACCAAGCAGTTCTCCAGCAGACACCAACTGGGTGTCCTGTGGTTTAACTCAATTCTGACACTGGTCTACCTGGAGACAGTGTCAGATCCCACAGGCCCCACAATGTCCCCACTTCAGATGCCAGTCACAAGTACAGATTGAGCATCTGTTATCTGAAATGCTTAGGCATGGAAGTATTTTGGATTTCTGATTCTTTCAGATTTTGGAATATTTGCATATATGTAATGAAATGTCTTGGCGATGACACTCAGATCTAAACATGAAATTTATTTATGTTGCCTGTACACCTGATACACATAGTCTGAAGGTAATTTTATACAGTATTTTAAGTAAAATGTTTTTAGCAAACTGTGCGTCATGTGCCTGTGTTTTGACTGTGACCTGTCACATGAGGTCGGGTGTGGAATTTTCTGCTTGTGGCATTGTGGTGGCATTTAGAAGGTTTGAGATTTAGGAGCATTTTGGATTTTGGATTTTCAGATTAGGGATGCTCAACTGACTGCAGGTTGTCACCCATGCGCTGACCAACCAGCTGTAAGTCAGGCTTCTCATGACCTCCTCCTCAGGTTCCATTGATTACTAGAGTAGCTCATAGAACTTTCACTTTATTTTTGTTTCCCCGTTTATTGTAAAGGACATTACAAAGGATGCAGATGAGCAGCCAGGCAGAAGAGATAGACAGGGCGAGGCATGTGGGAAAAGGGGATGAGTTTGCATGCCCTCTTCCACGTGGGAGGGACATGCCACCCTCCAAGCACCTCCACGTGTTCCAGTCCTTGGAAGCTCTTCGAACCTTTTGTGTTTTTATGGAATCTCCATCATGTAGGCATAATTACATCGCCACCATTGGTAATCAACTCAGTTAACCCCTCTCTCTTACCCAGAGATTGGGTAGTAGGACTGAAAGTTCCAGTCCTCTAGATCACTTGGTTAGTTCTGGCAACCAGCCCTCCTACCCTGAGGCTGCCCAGGAGTCTCAGCTCCCAGTTATATCGTTAGCATGTGCATGCACATGCATGTGTGCACACGCACACACACACACACACACACACACACACACACACACACACACACACAACTTATCACTTTGGAGAATCCAAGGATTTTAGGAAGTGTGTGCCAAGAACCAGTGGCAGAGACCAGATATATTTCTTATTATTTCACACTGTCACAGCTGCTATAGCCAAAATACCATAGACTAATATCTTCAACAGCAAACTTTTTTTCCTCGCAGTTTTGGAGGCTGGCAAATCCAAGATCAAGGTGCCAGCGCATCCAGTGTCTAGTGAGGCGTGGCTTCCTGGCTTGTAGATGGCTGTCTCACGTGACCCAGAGATAGAGCGTCTCCCCGGTGTCTCTTCTAAGGGCACTAATTCCATTCATGAGGGCTCTACCCTCATGACCTAATTACCTCCCAAAGACTCCATGTCCAAATACCATCACACTGAGGATTAGGCTTCAAGGTATGAATTTTGGGGAAACACAAAACTCCGTCTACGGCATGTCTCCCAACTCTCATGTTATAACATGCAAGGCAGAGATCTCCTATGACACCAACTCTGACTGGTAAATTCCTGAAGAATTTGTCAAACTATAGTGAACAAATATGGGTCTTCCAGACTGCCAGGTTGAATCTTTTTGACTTGAACTGAGAAGATCTCCTTAGATTTTTTTTTTAACCTCCCAGAAGCTGGTTTAATGTCCTTTAGTACAGTGCCTTACATGGAGCCTTATAGACTTGGAGCCAGGGAAGGAAACTAGAACTTAGAACCTGAGGGCATATGTTTGGGTTAGTGATAAAGGTGGGATGCCTACCCAAATCTGGAACAAAATAGCCAGCTTCATAGAGGTTCCCATTGTGCTTCATTGGAAAACACTCTGAAGGTTAGCACAGAGGCTGTCCTTCATCTGTTGGTATATAGCAAGAAGCAAATATTTTAAAGATATTTTTAAAAGTTTAAGACGGAAGTCGGGCTTGGTGGCTCAGCCTGTAATCTCAGAGCTTTGGGAGGCCGAGGTGAGTGGATTGCCTGAGCCCGTGGGTTCGAGACCCTCCCGGGCAACTTGGCAAGAGAGACCTCATCTCTACAGTAAATCAAAAAAATCAGCCGGGCATGGTAGCACATTCCTGTAATTCAAGCTACTCGGAAGGCTGAGGTGGAAAGATCACCAGAGCCCAGCGGGTCGAGGTTGCAGTGGCCGGGAGCGTGCCACGGCACTCCAATCTGGGGAACGGAGTGAGACTCCAACTCAAAAAAATAAAAAATAAAAAAAATAAAAGTTGCCTGGGCTCGGTGGCTCAGCCTATAATCCCGCGCTTTGGGAGGCCGAGGTGAGTGGATTGCCTGAGCCCGCAGGTTCGAGACCCGCCTGGGCAACTTGGCAAGACCTCATCTCTACAATAAATCAAAAGTTAGCCGGGCGTGGTAGCACACGCCTGTAGTTCCAGCTACTTGGAAGGCTGAGTGGAAGGATCGCTAGAGCCCAGCAGGTCAAGGCTGCAGTGGCCGGGAGTGTGCCACTGCACTCCAGTCTGGGTGACAGAATAAGACTTCAACTCAAATAAATAAATAAATAAATAAAAATAAAAGTTTAAGAGGGAAGCAGAGAATTTTTGACTCTGTACCATATGTATAGTCCTAATCATAGCAATATGGAGTGTTTCCAGGAGCCTGTGAGTAATCAGCTAATTAGAACTTAGTACAGAACAGCCATGACATCATGGCGCTGTTCACTTCCCATTACTCTCAACAGCAAAATGGTCTTTCAGTCCTCACTACCTACATTTAGTGTGGTAGGGCTTCTCCACTCATGACAAGGCTAGTCTTAGGTCAGCAGTGTGTTTGAGTCAAGAAAATATGGTTAGTCTGCTCAAAGGTGCGTGGCTTCTGTTTTCCCCATGATCTGTTTGCTGTGTACCAGACAAGTGCCCCGTATATCTAATCGTGATCAGTGAGAGAATGCCAGGATAAGATGGCTTTGTGTGAGGCCTGGCCCTACACTGAGCAGCCAAGACCGAGGATGTTTGTCTCCTGCAGGGCTATGAGCTTTTAGTGGCAGAGCTGGGGTTACTGCCCCTCTGAGCCCGTTTTCTCATCCGCAGAACAAGGATGCTGGTAACACCCCCTACACTGGGTTGTGATGGGCTTCATGTGAGTGCAGTGAAAGCATTTTGTGCAGTGTACATAAATGTTAAAGTATGTGTTGTTTTTAATCTACTGTATTTCCCTTGGGCTTTAATCCTTTGATAGGGTTTGGTGTGTACTAGCTTTCAAATATATTTCCACAAATGCTTCTTTCTCTCCTGTAGTTAAATTTTACAGCTTAGTTTGTCTTTGTAGCACAGGGAGTGAATTACTTCTGGTCATAAGTGACAAATATGAGAATACTGACTTTCTCAAATAGCAAGGAAATGTGACTTCCTTTATAGGATTGCTTCTATAATTGTACTTAAAAACTTGTATTTTTAAAAATGTTTTTTAATGGTATGTCATCAGCTAAAAGCAAGAGTATATGAAAATGTATGTAATTTTAAGGTATTGTTCATGCTTAAAAGTCTTTGGAAACTGTCAAGAATTATGTGTTTAACTCCAGGTTCTCCTGGAATCATGGGTTCAGTTGCTGAAAAGGTTCTTGAGGAGGTCCATTTTATTGTGCTTTGCTGAGCAGAATGCACACAGTAGTAAGTCCAGCTCAATTGCTTGCTTTGTACAGAAATAAGATGTTCAGTCAAGAAAGCAAAATGCCTTAATCACTGAGCACTTATAAAAAGGATTATAACCATCTCTGGGCGTCTAAGACTTTAGAACCATTCCCTATTCCCACCCACATGTGTTCGACTAATATAGCATGCCAGCTCCTAGCACGGCCTATGTATTTTCCTGTTACTACTTTTATCATCAAGGTCCAGGTTTTTCACCCAAGTCATTGTAAGCTCCTGGCAGGTTCCCGTGGCTACCAGTGCTTCCAGCTCACAAATGCACTGTGGGCTCCTTTTGTGTCTGATTCTCCTTTCCCTGTGACCACTGTACCATGAGCAGACCAGCTTGGGGTCTCTCCTACAGCTTGGGGTCTCTCAGTGGTGCTGAGATGACTTTTAAAACCAGTCTCCTCTGTTTCACATTTTAGGGACACCGCGGGTCAGGAAAGATTCCGAACAATCACGACGGCGTACTATAGAGGTGCCATGGTGAGTGTGTGTTGGCTTTGCAACTCCTCAAGTGGGAGTAAACCATGCTTATTTATTTGCCAAGATTACTGAACTCAAGATGGAATCTAGCACAAGGAGGAAAAATGGATTTTTTGATGTGAAAACAAGACTTTTAAAGGATTTTTTGTGGTTAGTAACCATATACCTTGCCAGTGGTCTTCAAAACAGTAATCCAGTGATTCCCTTGTAGATGTTCTAGAACTCCTCTACACATTCTGAGGTGATTGCATATTTCCATGATTTTAACTTTTGTGAATACCTTGTGGCAGTCTTCACAAACCGGAAGTATTGTGACTAAGTATTCATTTCTTGTACTCTCTTGTCCCTCAGCCCTGCCCCCGCCATTCCCCATCTCTCACCACCTTGGCAACATCCACTGCTGATGGCTCACCCTCAGGCATCTCCTTGACCAGCATTCTGCCAGCTGGCCAGATGGTAGCTGAATGATCTGAGACTCTTTAAGACTTAGAATCCGGTGAATCTTGGCCACTTAGTCCTTCTTTGCAGCATCCCTACCTAGCCTTATCCTTATGATCATAGCTTCATCTTTTGGTTATTTTCCATCCTAAGATGCATCATCTATACAGTGGATTTGTCTTGCTTGTTGGCTCTGGGTAGGTCCTATGTGGTGCTGGGAGTACAGTAATGAATACAGCAGCGTGGAAGCAGAGTTATCTTGACCGTGCCTAGAATGCTGGGCCCAGATCAGGGCTTCATCTCTGGTGATTAGGCCTAAGCTAAACACAAGTTGGAGCCTTGAATTATGATGAAGTCCAGCATGCTCAAACAGTCTTTGAAGAATGAACCATTGGGATCATGAAGCCCAACCTGGTAGGTTATTTAGGGTTTCAGCTGCCGTCACATTCAACTCCTTGCATAAAAGACTCTTGTACTCCTGGGTGTGCTGCTAGGGTAGCAGAACTGAAGAAATGATAACTGTCCCCTTGCCTCCCGGAAAATGTGACCTACATCCACAGATACTCTCACTTTATGCTGCCCTTCCTTCCTCTCTCACTGCCACTCACTCTCCAGTATTTGAGCATCACTAGTAATTCATTCCCACAAAAAGATTAGGGATTTCCTTTGAAAGCTGTAGCGTACCACTAACCCTTTAATATGTATGCATTCTCTACACTCCACCCTATAATACTTTTAAGATTGTGAAAGGTCATCATGTCAACAAGCACTGTGCTAGAGTCTGCCACCATGGCAGAATTCTTCAGTCTGTTTCACACACACATCAGCAACATTCATAGGCATAGAAGTGATCCCAATGGACAGTCAAGCTTTAGGGAAAAACAGGATCATATCATTACATTATTAAATTTCTCATAGACTAATACTGTCTTCTGAATTCGTAGGAAACTATTCCTATTGTAGGTATTTACTAGCTATATAAAGTTTTAACTGACATACTTGAATTTGTATTTCTTTTTTTTTTTTTTTTTTTTTGAGTTGGAGTCTCACTATGTCACCTAGGCTGGAGTGCAGTGGCATGCTCCTGGCCACCGCAGCCTCAACCTGCTGGGCTCAGGTGATCCTTCTGCCTCAGCCTTCCAAGCAGCCAGAACTGTAGGCACACTACCACACCCAGCTAATTTTTTTATTTATTGTAGAGACGGGGTCTGACCACATTGCCCAGGCTGGTCTCAAACCCGTGGGCTCAGACAATCCTCTCGCCTCGGCCTCTCAAAGTAGTGGGATTATAGGCTTGAACCACCATGCCCCGCCTTGAATTTGTATCTCTAACTGGTTCATAATATCAGTTAACTTGAAAACATAGGAAATAATCACATGATTTCTGCTATTGAGACCTAAGATATAAATTAATAATAGCTGCCATTTATTGAGTCCAAGCTATGTCCCAGGCTCTTGGTGAAGTTTATAAATAGTATCTCAGTAGATCCTCAAAACCAGTCTAGTGTGGAAGAGGTATTGTCCTCATTCCGCAAATGAGGAAGTGGGGACCAGGGGTAAAATCACATCTCCAAGGTCTCCCAGTTAGTACGTGGTGGAGCCCAAGCCTTCAGAGGTGCAGCCTCTGACTTCAGATTTGCACTCTTTTTTTTTTTGTTTGTTATTCAGTTTTTATTTCTCTGCAATCCAACTAGACGTGGAAGGGAATAAGGAAAATATGGAACCCAAAGAATTGTAGCGAGAGCACAAAGATTATAGGGATACTGCGAGCAAATGGGATGAAGGGGCTACAGAAGGAATGATCTGGTCGTTTAAGAGAAAACAAGTCAAATTTCTTAGAGTTGTCCATAGTCAGCAATGGTGATCTTCTTGCTGGTCTTGCCATTCTTGGACCCAAAGCCCTCCATGGCTTACACAACATTCATGCCCTCTTTTACCTTGCCAAAAACCACATGCTTGCTATCCAACCATTCAGTCTTAGTAGTGCAGATGAAAAACTGGGAACCATTTGTGTTGGGTCCAGCATTTGCCATGGATAAGATGCCAGGACCTGTATGCTTCAAGATGAAGTTCTCATCATCAAATTTCTCCCCACAGATGGACTTGCCGCCAATGCTATTATGGTGTGTAAAGTCACCACCCTGGCACATAAACCCTGGAATAAGTCTGTGAAAGCAGGAACCCTTATAACCAAATCCTTTCTCTCCAGTGCTCAGAGCATGAAAGTTTTCTGCTGTCCTTGGAACTTTGTCTGCAAACAGCTCGAAGGAGACGTGGCCCAAGGGCTCGCCGTCAACGGCGATATTGAAGAATACAGTGGGGTTGACCATGGCTGATGGGAAAAGGCTCAAGGCAGCGATATCTGCAAAGCCAGATTTGTACTCTTAAAACCACACTGTGCTAACAAGTGAAGGGAAACTAGGACAAAAGGTCACGTAAATGATGAAGGTTGTTCATACAGAATAGGAGAGCTACGCCATTATTTGGTTAATTTCAATATTGTAGGCAGCCAAACACTTTGAATCAGGAATTATGCAGAATCCACTTGAATTTTTGTATCTCGATTAAGTATACAAAACAAAATTTACATTTGTAGCCATTTTTTAAGTGCACAGGTCTCCATTTTGATTTTTTTCAAATAAAATTATTAGCCGGGCTCGGTGGCTCAGCCTGTAATCCCGCGCCTTGGGAGGCTGAGGTGAGTGGATTGCCTGAGCCCGCGGGTGCGAGACCCGCCTGGGCAACCTGGCGAGACCTCACCTCTACAATAAGAATCAAAAATTAGCTTGGCGTGGTAGCGCGCGCCTGTAGTTCCAGCTACTTGGAAGGCTGAGGCAGAAGGATCGCCGGAGCCCAGCAGGTCGAGGCTGCCGTGGCCGGGAGCGGCCACACTGCACTCCAGTCTGGGTGACAGAGTGAGACTCCAACTCAAATAAATAAATAAATAAAATAATTTGCATTGAGAGACACTGTCGAATCTCCTTTATAGTATACAGCCAAAATGAAACATTTATATTTGAGGCTGAGAAGAGGGAGGATAGAGGAGAATGTTGTTTGCCATTTGACCAATCATATTTTTTTTCTCATTGCACAAAGGATACAGATAGTGTGGAGAACTTTGAAAATTGCCAGAAATCATCTAAAATCTCACCACTCTGAGACAGACTCTCTGTTAGTGTTTCATTTCTGGTATTCTTTGGCCTATGTGTATGTGTGTGTTTTATATGATTTATGTTTATTTACATTTATATTTTATATTTACTTACAAAGTTGGAGGCCAGACCCGGAAGGACTCTGCCTTTCATACTAAGGAGTTGTAATTTAATCATAATGCAGTGGAGAGGTACTAAAGGATTTTGAGCAGTGAGGTGGTAGCTCTCGTACCCCTGTGGACAGTGGGTCAGAGGAGGTTTCGAATGCAAACAGGGAGGCCAGTCACGATTGTGGCAGTAATCCAGGAAAGATAAATGAATGAGACTCTGAGTAAGCCATGAGAGGGTCAGGTTCTGGGATACTGAGGTCGTTAGGTCTGCGGGACTCAGTGACTGATGGCTGTGGAAGGGAAGGTAGCTCCTGCTGTTTGCTTGGGCTGGCTGCTGGGTTATTTGCCCTTTACCAGAATGGTGATACAAACAGAGTAGAAGAGATGGAGGCAACAGACAGTCTCATGTTTTGGTCAGTTGGGTTTGCAGCAGCTGCAGGGACAACTCGCAGCCACCGTCCGGACGGTGGACTCTAAAGCACATCAGGCCCCCGGCTTTGCTCCCCAGCCTCATCTTGTATCCTTGTCCCATTACTGTGCAAGGGTACTGCGCCCCCTTGCCAAGCTGACTTTCTTTCACTCACTGGGCTCTGAGCCTTCGATGACAGCAAGGTGTTTCTAATGTTTCTGCTATTTGCCAGGATTCACTCCGTCCTAACCCCTTTGCCTTGTTGAAGTCTGGTCAGTCCTGAGGCTTTGACTTTAAGGTCATGTCCTCTTGGAAGCCTTCCTGAACACTAGACTACATCCCTAGCACATGTGCTCAGAGTTCCTCGTGCTTCATTAGAGCATTTGTTAAATTATAATTAATGTATGATTATTGGTTCATTGTTTTCTTTGCTAGCCATCCAATGGGAGGAATGGACATTGTCTGTCTTGTTCATTGTTGGTCGCACATGGTATAGTACCAGGCACACAGTAGATGCTCACTAAATATGTGGTGAATAGATGGACAGGTGAGTGTATCTAGCACTTAGTACAGAAGTGTAGTCTGGGAATATAGACTTTGGAACAGTTAGTATACAAGTTTTAGTTCAAACATTTGGGAAGGTAAACATTTTAGAAATATCAGATATGGGGTCCTTAAAAATGTGACAACAATGCCTTTTTATTAAACCAGTATAACAAATGCATTATATTCTAAGTGTCTGTGGGTTCCTTAGATAAACAGTGATATTTTGATCAGCCTATATATAAAAAGAAATAATTTTAAAGCAATGCTATCTCAGTCTTCGTAGAGGAGTAGAAAGCAAGACAGTTTCAACTCAGAATAGACAAGTGCACAGTGGAAGTGATTACCCCTTACTCTCAATGGTATCTCTGTTCTGACTTAAACACTCTTTCAGCTCCAAGTGGTGCCGATTGTTATCACATTAGGTCAGGTAGAAAGGGTATATCACCATTACCACAATAACTTATTCATTACAGGTTAACAGTGGAAAGGTTAACAAAGTTTTTATTTATTTACATGGTGAGACAGTAGAAGATTTATTTATGTTCCTCTATTTTTCAAATGTCTTACGAGCCCCTTTGTAAAGACAAAAAGTCTTCTGGAGGATAGGAGTACCTTGACGTTATACAACTTTAAATATAAATAAATGTTTATATCAACCTATGTGCATTTCTATTTTAAATAACTCAGAATCTAGAATATCTTCTCCACTGGGTCACTCAGTACCATACTAGATAATGATCTTTTTTTTTCCTCCTGTAGGGAATTATGCTGGTCTATGACATCACAAATGAAAAATCCTTTGACAATATTAAAAACTGGATAAGAAACATTGAAGAGGTATGTACAGAGGAGAGTGATGGTCCTGGAGAGGAGCAGTGCTGGGTGCTGAGAGGCAGCTGGCAAGCGGGACATGGCAGGTTGGGCCCTCTCTCAGGGCGTCAGTGAAGGACTAGATCTCTGGTGCTGCCTGTCAGCGACTGCACGCAAACAGGGGAGCCCTTTTTTCACAGAATTTTAAGTTCGGGCCAGATTTGGGAAATAATTTGAGTCCCCATTTTACGCCTGAAGGACTGAAGACCAGAAAGAAGTGACTTGCCTGTGCTCATAAAGCCTTTAAAAAGGAAAGCTGGCTGGCTGGGCACGGTGGCTCAAACCTGTAATCCCAGCACTTTGGGAGGCCGAGGTGAGAGGATTGCCTGAGCCCACAGGTTTGAGACCAGCCTGGGCAACTTCCCAAGACCTCATCTCTTCAATAAATCAAAAAATAAGCCGGGCGTGGGAGCATGCACCTGTAGTTCCGGCTACTTGGAAGGCTGAGGTGGAAGGATCGTGTAAGTCCAGCTGGTCTCTACTGTGGTGGCGGTGAGTCTGCCACTGCACTCCAGCCTGGGCGACAGAGTGAGACTCCAACTCAAAAAAAAAAAAAAAAAGCCGATCATGAGCAGTGGCCCACGCCTATAATTCTAGCACACTGGGAAGCCAAAATGGGAGGATCACTTGAGCCCAGGAGTTTGAGACTAGCCTGGGCAGCATAGCGAGACCTTGTCTCTACCAAAAAAAAAATTATCTGGGCATGTTGGCACTCACCTTTGTTCCCAGCTACTCGGGAGGCTATGGCGGAAGGATCGCCTGAGCCCAGGAGGTCAAGGCTGTAGTGAGCTGTGATTGTGCCACTGCATTTTAGCCTGGGCGACAGAGTGAGACCCTGACACACACACACACACGCACGCACGCACGCACGCACACACACAAAAGGAAAGCCAGGATTAAAGCATCTAGTTATCCGATTCCTGGATTCTATCTATTATGCTGTTTGACTAGCAAAAATGTATCTTTACTTTGGCAACTTTTTCCTTTCTAACATTTTTGTCTTAGATAATTGAAATTTGTTGTAATTCCAGGATAACTGGTATTAGGATTTTATGTCTTTGTGTTTCAGAAAGAAATCTGAATTTATATTTAAAATAGTTCAGAATCCAGAATACTTTCTACTCTGGGTCACTCAAACAAATATTTGGAGTTTTGTCATTAGGTAGCCAATGACAAAATTTGTGTCTATTCATGTGTGAAAAAAGACGTGAGAATGACTGAAAAAGGTTTACACAGGCTCGGGGAGGCTTATGCTGCAGCTCTACCCCTCCTCCCATCCTTAAACTTTTCTCTGAATCAGGCCTTGTGTTGAGTGAAAGATTATTTGTCTTTTTATTAAAGTCACGGATGTGTTTCTGACAGGTTAGGATTTGCCTATTGAAAAGCGGATTTTTCTCAGGCTGTTTTTGTAGCATACCATTTTCTCCCTGCAGCATGCCTCTTCAGATGTTGAAAGAATGATCCTGGGAAACAAATGCGATATGAATGACAAAAGACAAGTGTCAAAAGAAAGAGGAGAGAAGGTAAATTTGAACTGAATGGATAAAGGTTGGACTCTGCTCACATTAAGCATGTATTTTTTTAGTGTTATTTAGTTATTGATTTAAGTTTGAAATATCTATGTTTTAATCCTTTAAAATGGGACATCAACAACAAAGAGATGTAATCCATACTTGAATGATGTGAATTAGTATTCGAGATCCAGCTCCGCATGCTGTGTGGTCATGACTCATTCCTAAAGAATTTGCTAATGTTTTCTGGGAGATTCAAATTGGTCCTTTCTACGACTCCTGCAGTTTATAATTCAGGCTATTTCTTCCAGATCTGTGTGAAAATACCCACTTTTGAAGTTAATTCATTTTTTTTGGAAAAAAGTTATAAGATAAGTGAAGTTTCAGCAGCGATCATTTTTCAATTCTTTTTTTCCCTAAGAATATTTTACTACACATTAGCTTTCGGTTGCTATGGGTAAACTCCTTGTAACTGATCAAGCTATGGATGTCATTTATATAGGCATATCTTTATTATGTGTCTTGTAAAGCAAAAGAGTTTATTTTGTTGACATACTTCTGTGGCATTTTCTAAGTTGATCTGGAGGCTTCACTTTTATGTCTTAGAGTTGTACTTTTGCCTTTTAAAAAATTATATATGCAAAATACAGTTTGCTTTTCAGTCTGACTGCAGACTTCTTCCCCTAAAAACATTCACTGAGTTTTAGTGTTCTAAATGAACTTGGAACTCTTTGGGGGTAGATGGAAATGTGGAAGATTTTATAATTTGTTTCAATAAATAGAAATCAAAGCAATGGATACCTCAGTATTTAAGCTTTTTTTCCTTTATGGATCAATTTATTAAAAGTAATTACAAGTCAGTATAGGAACTGTTGGAGAATTGTACTTTTTGAGCAGATAAAAGGGGTAAGTGGGCCAGGCACGGTGGCTCAAGCCTACAATCCCAGCACTTTGGGAGGCCGAGGCGAGAGGATTTTCTGAGCCCAGGGGTTCAAGACCAGCCTGGGCAACTTGGTGAGACCTCTCACTACAATAAATCAAGAAAAATTAGCCAGGCATGGTGGCACACACCTGTAGTTCCAGCCTCTTGGAAGGCTGAGGCGGAGGAATCACCTGAGCCCAGCAGATGGAGGCTGTGGTGGCCAGGAGCGAGTCACTGCACTCCAGCCTGGGCGACAGTGAGACTCTGACTCAAAAAAAAAAAGGAGTGAGTGAATCCCAAGTTACTGGTAGAGGTGGGAACTTACAGTTTTTCTTGTAAGTATATTAGAGAACTTCTAGTAGAAAAAAGAAAAAGACTTAAATTGTGTTTTAAATGGAAGTTGTACAGTGTTTCTTATGATGATTAGGTTAAATTATTAGACTCCATATACAGTAGAAGAAAGCAAAGGGATATGAGAACCGCAGGAGTTCTGAAGTAGATCCCTTACCTTTGAGACTTTGAAAAACCTAAAAAAATATAAATGCTTTCTATGTCCAAGCACCTTTCGCTAAATTTGAATGTTTCTTTTACCTTTCAGCTAGCAATTGACTACGGGATTAAATTCTTGGAGACGAGTGCAAAATCCAGTACAAATGTAGAAGAGGTAAGAAGAGAATGTGTGGTGACTTGTTAAGGAACGTCACTCGTGCTGAGGGCCGTGTTCCAGCAGCTCCCAAAGCCTTGGTATTTTCTGACCTAGTGAATACCTTTTGTCGTCCACCCTCTACTTTGTGCATTTTGTGCTTCTAACTTGCATGTGGACTCTGGTTGTTAAATTTCTAGCACCCGACTTCCATATGGGTGATATTAGGTTGCTCAGCTGAGATTCATGGAGCAGAATATTGAAATTCAGTTGTACCCTTTGTTTCAGAAACTGGGAATTTGGGTCTAGAAGAATTAATTTCATGTCTGTATTCTCTCAAGAGCAAACTAAACTGTTAGTTGATTGGACAGAGTCCCTTAGTGTTCACACTTGAAGTGGATTAAGCAAAATACATTGTAACACAATGGCATTTAGTAGAAATAAGCAAGTGTGTTTATTAGAGGGTAGCTTTAATCAATTTTCATTAAGTTAGCTGTTGAGGAAAACCAAATCATCTAAAGTCTTCTAAGAGTAGGTTTCCTTCACCAAGGACAGAATTGTTGATGATATTCCCTTTTTAAGAAAGCATTTCTTCAACTGATCATAAAAATAATACATGTAATACGTATTAATATATGTAATTCATTTAATAATGCTGATGACCTTGTAAACATTTAATTTCTTAGGTTACTTACTATTCATCATAACATGACAGCAAAAATAAAAACTTAAATAACTTCATTAGCCAGTAAACACCAATCAGAACTTTGCTTTTGTTTAAAATAACATATTTTGAAGTTGGCTAACGAGTGTAAGGAAACAGGAAGCCTCTACTGATTTATTTACACAAGGTAGATAAGCAGAAAAATGCTTCACTCTGCTTGCCACAAAAGGATTTCCCTCCATCAGAAATAATTCATTTTAAAAATGGGCAAAAGATCTGAATAGACATTTCACCAAAGAAGACATGTAAATACCCAACAGGTATATGAAAACATGTTCAACATTATGCATCATCAGAGAGATGCAACCAACACCCCGGTTAAAATGGCTTTTATCAAAAAGGCAGTAATAAATGCTGGCATAGACCGGGCTCGGTGGCTCAGCCTGTAATCCCAGCACTTTGGGAGGCCAAGGTGAGTGAATTGCCTGAGCCCGCGGGTTCGAGACCCGCCCGGGCAACTTGGTGAGACCTCGTCTCTATAATAAATAAAAAATGAACCGGGCGTGGTAGCATGCACCTGTAGTTCCAACTACTTGAAAGGCTGAGGCGGAAGGGTCGCCGGAGCCCAGCAGTTCAAGGCTCTGGTGTTCGGGAGCATGCCACTGCACTCCAGTCTGGGTGACAGTGAGACTCCAACTCAAAAAAAAAAAAAAAAGATTGAGATGGGCTTATTTAGACACTTCGACTCACAATGACTAGTGTGACAGTGAGACACTGACAATCAGTAATAAGAGTAGTTACCATCTTATTTCCATTTGACTGGATGGGAAATCACTTTTTTCCTTAACAGTTTTTTGGGGATTAGGCATGGTTGGGAACAAAGAAGCTGGCATAACAGTGGGTTTAACATGGAGACAACTGAAGACAGTTCTTGGCTCTTTAGAAACAAAAGAGCTGGGCTCAATGGCTCAGCCTGTAATCCCATGCCTTTGGGAGGCTGAGGTGAGTGAATTGCCTGAGCCCGCAAGTTCGAGACCCTCCTGGACAACTTGGTGAGACCTCAGCTCTACAATAAATTAAAAATTAGCCGGGCGTGGTAGCGCACGCCTGTAGTTCCAGCTACTTGGAAGGCTGAGGCGGAAGGATCACCAGAGCCCAGCAGGTTAAGGCTGCGGTGGCCAGGAGCAGCCACTGCACTCCAGTCTGGGCAACAGAGTGAGACTCCAACTCAAAAGAAAAAAAAAAAAAAAGAAAAGAAAGTGATGATAGGTTTAAAAAGTATTTGGTTTATATCAAGAGATTCTGTGGAGAGAGTATCACTGAGATTCATTAGATTTGTCCTGCATCCATCTGAACTGATTTCACAGTGGGGAATTTAACTGAGGTCTGGGAACTGTGGGAATTTTGGAACATTAAGACACAGAAGATAGCCTGGTGTGGTGACTCAAGCTTGTAATCCCAGCACTTTGGGAGGCTGAGGTGAGAGGATTGCCTGAGCCCAGGGGTTCGAGACCAGCCTGGGCAACTTGGTGAGACCGCCGCTCTACAATATACCAAAAAAATTGGCCAGGCATGGTAGCGCATGCCTGTGATTCCAACTACTCAGAAGGCTGAGGCAGAAGGATCACCTGAGCCCAGCAGGTCGATACTGAGGTGGCCATGAGCATGCCACTGCAATCTAGCCTAGGTGACAGAGTGAGACTCTGACTCAAAAAAAAAAAACAGAAGATTATGCATACTCAGGTACAAGAGTGAGAGCAATTGAAAGAGGGGGTCAGAAATAAAAAGCAGAGATTTTTCTGAAGGCAGATTTTAGAGCTTATAGGGTAATACAGAATCATTCATTCACTCATTAAGAAGATGTTCAGTATCTCCTAGACCTCCTCTCTGCTCTGTTCTCTGAATGTGGTATGGACTATTCTGGGTGGACTGAGGAAGCTACTCAGAACTCAACATGTGTTATATTGTGACAGATATTGCATGAAGGAAATATTTGATGAATGAATGACAGTTTGATAACACCAGAAAATGTTTATGATATAATTGAAAGAAACATGCAGCACATGTGCAGACTATGATTATAATTATGTTATTTTCTCAATTTAAAACTTTAAAGTGACACATTTTGATGAAAAAATGAAAAAAATCTATATTTCTATTTTAAAATAAGCCAGGTGTGGTGACTTGTACCTATGGTCCCATCTACTCAGGAGTCTGAGACAGGAGAATTGCTTGAGCCCAGGAGTTGGAGTCCAGCCTCAGCAATATAGCAAGACTCTGTCTCTTGAAAAAAGAAAGAAACCTATATATACCTAATGATATAGTAATGAAAATTTTTGTTTTACTTATAGGCATTTTTTACACTTGCACGAGATATAATGACAAAACTCAACAGAAAAATGGTTTGTATCACTTCTAATTTTTATTTCCATTGTGGGTTTCTTTTTGGCATTTGATTAAAAAGATAGGCCTGATTATAACATAGCCACATTAAACTCATTTTTTTCCTGACTCGGGTACTCCTTTGGGTGAACTCTGATTCGTATTTCTGTTTGTTTAGGATCCTTATTTCTGAACTGCATTTGTCTCAGTTCTTTCATTTGGCTCTATAAGGTCTTTAGCTGAATTTTGATAAGAATAATGAACATAGCCGGGCTCGGTGGCTCAGCCTGTAATCCCGCGCCTTTGGGAGGCTGAGGTGAGTGGATTGCCTGAGCCCGCGGGTTCGAGACCCGCCTGGGCAGTGAGACCTCATCTCTACAATAAATCAAAAAATCAGCCGGGCGTGGTAGCACATGCCTGTAATTCCAGCTACTTGGAAGGCTGAGGCGGAAGGATCGCTGGAGCCCAGCAGGCGAGGTTGCGGTGGCCGGGAGCGGCCACTGCACTCCAGTCTGGGCGACAGAGTGAGACTCCAACTCAAAAAAAAAAAACAAAAACAAAAACAAAAAAAGAATAATGAACATAATAATGACACAACTTAGATTTTTGCCATAAAGTTATCTGGTGTAGTTTTCATGTGGCTGATGTTTAATGTATATAACTGTAACCTTGAAGTTGCTAAAGTTTGCTTAAATTCAAAACTCTCCCAGTGATGAGTCATTAGGACTGCCTTGAAAGCGTGTTCTAACCCGAGTCCTGAACATACTTGTATACCTTATACTACCAACTTTTTAGCCTCGAACAGAACTGTCTAGGCCAGTGTCTTAACATTGTTTCCATCATTACCTCTGAAATTTTACATTCCATTGGTTATAATTTCTTTGAACTGGAAACCAGAGCTTCCTATGTAATATGTGATTCATACAAAAAATGCTATCCTGAGGGCATTTTTCTCTTTTAGAGCCACCATTTCCAAAGAAAAAGACAGCATTGGTCCCTAACTAGTTCCCTTTCTAATAAAACACTCTAGTGAATACACATTACACGTGGTGGGTTTGTTCTTTTTATTTTTTCAGTAACTGAGGTCAAACCGTGAAACTTTTACTTCCTTGGCAACTTTATCTTTTACTTTTTAGAATGACAGCAATTCGGCAGGGGCAGGTGGACCAGTGAAAATAACAGAAAACCGATCAAAGAAGACCAGTTTCTTCCGTTGCTCACTACTTTGATGAACTCTTCCCGAGAGACTGCAGCACACCTAGTGGGCCCTTTCCTGCTTCTCTGAAAGCACAGGTCACCCAGCCTCAGAGTCACACTGCCCGGGCTGCTGCTGAGAGCACCGCTGAACTTAGACCTCTCAACACAGAATGCCGAGTGGATTCCAGCCTCACGGCCTAGCAGAAGAACAGGCTCCTCCTTTCAAACATGGAAGCGATGACGTGGAGACACATGCAGGACCTAACTTGTTTTTTCTTTGTTTTATTGCCTGCCGCAGAAGCTGCTATCTTTCTTTTTCACTTTGCACATCAGTGTTAGCCTTTCCCGATTACAGCACAGTCTCAGACTCACGTTTGCACACTTTTGTGTCATGAAGTTCGAAACAAATTTGTACGTTTGGGGGTGTTGAAAGAGAGCAGAACATTTAGAGCAGAGGTTAATATGCTCAGATTAATATACTAAAATGAAGACTGTTTGGTTCACATGGCCAAATGTTTCTGCATTGGGAGCATTTACGTAAGGGCTTAGATGTGTGTTTTCTTAAATAAGAATCACTAAATTCATTTTGAAAATGTATTAAAATGCCCACCTGTTCATCAGAAGCCACAGTTTCCTTTTTCAGATTGTTCAGAGCATTGTCTCATTTCTGAACTTTTCACCAGTGAATCTGGTTAGCTAACTGAATCACTTTTGAAATTACCTCTGCCTAATCTGCATTTGAAAATCACCATAATCTCACTTTTCCTGGGGTTTTCTTTTGCTCATATTTTCCATGTTTGACTTACTGTCATTATTCAGTTACCTAAAACTAATAACATACTTGAACATTGTTGTCTGTCTCTATTTGTGAACTTTTTTAGTTGAAATTTGACATTGGCAGAGAGATAGACCATTAAGGGTTTCATTTAGGCATACAACTGTAGTTCTGTCACATAAAGATATGTAATATATTTTTTCCTAGGTTCACCCCTTAGCTTGCTGACGTAGTCTCAGTACCCAATTCCTACCATAATCCCTGTCTGCAAAAGCTAACAAAGGTTAGATTTAGATTTCAGTTTGCAGAAAGCTTACCTATAGAGAGAAAGATGAGCTTATTGATATAAATTTAATTGAGATAGCTCTAGGTAATGATGAAAATAATGATTTTTGGTCCTGTTTTTGTTGGGGGGGTTAAAAATAAAAGTACTTAGACCTAGTGCAGCCTCTAGGAAAAGTCTTGCCTTTTCATTAGAGAAAACGTGAGCAAGCTTTAAGTTTTAAAACAGCTGTTGTTGAATGTGTAGAATCCAGATCCATCTGTTTAGGTTCATTGTTACAGAACTTAGTCTAGTTATTTGTGTCATGAAGTTCTAGACAACTTTGTACTAAGACCAACCAAAAGTTTAGTTGCCTTTCTCACCAAACACTGGTACTGGTATACCTTGTTGATGAGACCATCATAGAAGAAAAAATGATATTTAATGTTAACTTATGTGCCAAATTCAGATCACTGTCATTGCAGTTATTCCAGCCTTCAGAGTCGTAACACAGAAGGGTGGGGATAATCAGAGGTGATTAGGAAAGTGAATTGTGTTCAGAATGACTTTTCCAGGCGTGCCTATTTTGCTTCAAAAGCTACTGGCATGATCAATAGTTAAGAACAGGAGATGGACGTGGCAATGAATTGCTCACTACCACAGAGGATTCCACTTGAAATTAGATTAGGTTGTTAGAGTGCGTGGACCAACCTTTCCACTTTGAAAACTTAGATACAATTTAGCAGCTACAAATATACCAGAGCTGCTTTTGATGCATACACTTAACTTACTGTTGACATATTTCAGCCTCCTTAATTTTCTTTTTGTAATTACCTATAGTAGGCTTCAAAGTCACCCATTGCTGTCCCACTATAATCAGTAGTTTTGTGATTGAAAGTTGATTGTAATTCTGCTATCTTCAAGTTAGATACATTTTCTAAAAGAAAAAATAATTTCTTAGAAACATCTTGTATTCACTAATTTTCTGGAAAACAATCCGAGCAGTTAAGTTTTCTGGATGGTAACAAAGTATCTCTAAAAGGCAAGTGCCATGACACCATGTATGAATGTAATCCTCTTAGCAATTTACCTCTGACTATTTGGTGTCTTAACACTTTGGTTTATATCTCAGGGGTTGTCTGCAAACCAAAACTGACATATTATGTGGTTAGCTTTTATTTTTTAACAGAATGCTTTGCTTTTGTTCTATTTCTTCTTTCTTCTTTTGTCTTCTATGGGTTAATAACTAGTCTCCATGAACTTCTCTTTGAAAGAGCCTGTAAATATTAAATGAGTCTTAAAAGTGCTCTTTGAAGTAGCAGCAAATTGGGAGTATATGCTCTGTTATATAGAAATAAATTGTCCTTGCTATTTTCTTACATTTAGCTTTGCTAAATTGTATATAAATTGAGCTAAGACCATAGGAAATTCACTTTCTGCATGGTAAAATGACCCAATAAATATTCCACTTTGCTTAATAATGTACATATAGTGCATTATTTTTTCTATTTGTAGATGAATTTAGTGACAGATAGTTGTCTGTTCCCTGCTGAAACTGAAGAAATCTAGTTTTTTGTGAACATTTTTGTGGTCTTATGAATAAGGTACATGAAGATTTTTGCAGCAGTATTAGTGGTTCAGTGGCTGCACTTTATTATCAATGTGCTAATTTTTGACAATGATTGGACTAGACCTTTTCAAATAAAGTCTGAGGGGCATCAGACAGTGAAAATGTGCTGTAACTAGGTAGCATGTAAACCAGTTGATTGTAAAATGTTTCACTGGGAACTTATTTTAGCTATATTTTACTTCAGACAGATTATAATAAAATAATCTACCTGGGCATCAGTTAGTAGATGCAGCAGAATTTCTTACTATTTACATGAACATTTTGTGTGGTCTTTGTTAAAAATTTTCAGAAGACTGTACTCTTTACTTTGAAGGACTATTTCTAAATTATACCTCATTTAGCTAACTAGTATTCTAATATCTGGTTTAAAAAAAAAGTGAGCCAGCCTTTAAGCATCTAACAAAACTTAGATTATATGTTTTGTTTTGAACTGAAGAGATCATTGGGAAAGGTAGTGGACATCTTAGTTTAGAATAGAGCATACATGTCATATCCAGTAGCATAAAAAAGTATCGTCTCCCTGTCTCCATTAATAAATTTAGCTGTGCAATACGTTTTTGCAGAAGTTTCTAAGTAAGAGATTATAACTCCATTTTGCAGGTTCTGAATGCTGAGAGTCTGTATAATAAGGCTTATAGAGTTACCCTGTGATCAGTAAGTGATACATGTAAGCAGACATTCTTTTCAAGTTTATGACTTAGATTCCTTTACAAATTTAGTTCTTAATCTTTAAATATGAGCTTCTAAGCTTAAATTTTTAAAACTGTATTTCATTATGTTGGTTTACTTAATTTTAAACACTCATTTCTGCAATCAAGATTTTTAGAAAATTTTTTTTGACAGAAAAGACATTCCAGTCTCCTTGTTACATCCAAACGGGGCCGGGGGTGGGTGGAAACGAATGTCTAAAAATGAAATCCCTTGACATAGAGGGACATGATATGCTAATAAAATTTCAAATTCTAGCACAATTTTAGAGTAGAGTCAGTCTTTTTCAGACTAATAAAATTAATGGTATCATGTTCACCATGAAATAATCTAAATAAAATATACAGAAATAAAAATTAAGCAATTATTTAGGGTTATTTTCAGATTTTGCTTCATTTCTTGAGATGTGCGTGCCATATCCAATTGCATTTCTTGTTGCCAAGAGCTAATGGAACTTTTTGTTTTACTTTCTTCCCTTTTTTACGTGAATTTAATTATTATAGTTCATTCCTATGGCCGTATAAATGGGTTTTATTTTGTTTGTTTGCAGCTGACACTGCAGTTCCTTTAATGCAAATACCATAAACCACTTGGTGAAAATCATATTCCTAACAAAATATTTAGTTTTTTCATAGATTATCCTACTGTGTATGTTTAAACATATTTTATTTTTGCTCCAGTTTCTTAATGTGAAAAGTTCCTGCAGATAAGTGGACCTGTCATGTGGTTAATCTTCTTTAGGCCAATTCATTAACTGTGTACTGATGCTATGCGTGTGTGTGTGTGTGTGTGTGTGTGTGTGTGTGTGTGTGTGTGTGTGTGTGTGTGTTTAATGGATTTTATTCCAGGTGAATTCTTTTTTTTTACAATAATGTCCATCTAAAATAAAAACTGCATAATGAAAATATTCATGACTCTCTGAAATGGACTGCATATTTTCAATATGTTTCTGCAGTTTTGATAGTTGCATGATTCAAACCATGGTAGACTTGAGCTATTTTCACAAAATATCTGACCCAAAGTTGTTTAAGACTTAGAAAAATGGATGGATACCCTGCTCATACTTAGCTCAGAATACATTGAGGTTATTCTGATGTAGAATCTGTAGCCTTTTTTAAAAAAAATTATTTATTTACAGAGACGGGGTCTTGCTCTGTCACCCAGGCTGGAGTGCAGTGGCACAATCATGGCTCACTGCAGCCTTGAACTCCTGGGGTCAAGCAATCCTCCCACCTCCACCTCCCGAGTAGCTAGAATCACAGGCATGAGCAACCATGCCTGGCTAATTTTTCTTTTTTACATTTTGTGGAGATGAGGTCTCACATGTTGCCTAGGCTGTTCTGGAACTCCTGGCCTCAAGTAATCCTCCTGCCTTGGCCTCTCAAGTGCTGGGATTCAGTGTGAACCTGGCCAGAACCTATAGCCTTCAGTCGATCGTCCTTCCTGTCTTAGTCCTTGCCAAATTCGTGTCCGTTGTTTCTTTTCACTCGGGAATCACACAGTGATGATCCCAGTCCTGTCGATGCTCTCCCACTTTGCTGGTGCCTGTGCCAGTCTCAACCTTTCCCGTTCATTCCGCAACAATTTCAAACCTCTCCTTCCCAAGCTTCCTGCCTCTTTCCTCTCTTCATAAACAGATCTTTCACCTCCTGCCACCTCAAGCATCAGCCTCAAGCCACCTTGGCCTCCTCTTCCTCCCAGCCTCCAATCCAGCTTTGGCCTCACCGGCCTCACCTCTGTCTTCCTGGCACAGAGGCATTCTTCCACACCAGCCTCTGCTCTCTATCTCTTCCCTGGATTCATCCCCTAACCCCGACCCATCCTGCTTTTCAGGGAATTCTCAGCTCTTTATCTTTAAGCTCTCGTCCTGTCTTAGCCCTTTGCCCTCAGCATGAGCATCCTTGGCCCGCCCTTTGGCCCTGTGGCCCTCTGCCCTACTGTTCTTGGGAAAAGGTTCCTTCTTCCTTTTTCAACGAGGTGCTTAGAGTGACTGTCATCACTCTTTCACTCTCCTTGTACGCCCTAACCTTCTGCTTGCATCACTTCACTCCCACCCTTCAGTGACATGGTGCACAGCCTAGTTGCCAAGGCAGTGAACAATGTTCATTTCCGATCTTAGCTAACTTGTGGGCGGCATTGACCAGTATATCGCTCCTATGCCCCAGAAATGTTCTCTTCTCTCGGCTTAGTTTCATCCTTTTTCATGACTCATTTACTTTAGAGCTAAGTCTCACTCTGTCGCCCAGACTGGAGGACAGTGACGAGATCACTGCTCACCGCAGCCTCGACCTCCTGGGCTCAAGGGATCCTTCTGCCTGAGCCTCCTGAGTAACTGGGACTACATGTGTGAGCCACCGCACCCAGCCTTTGTGGCTCTTTAAATGCTCATAACTTCCGTGGTAAGGCTGAATAATACTCCTTCCCTCCAGGATGTCCCTGGAACCTGTGATTTTTTTTTTTTCTTTTTTGAGTCGGAGTCTCACTCCTTCGCCCAGGCTGGGGTGCAGTGGCACGCTCACGGCCACCCAAGCATCGACCTGCTGGGCTCCAGCGATCCTTCTGCCTCAGCCTTCCAAGCAGCCTGAACTACAGGTGCGCGCTACCACGCCTGGCTAGTTTTTATTCTATTTTGTTGTAGAGACGAGGTCTCACCAAGTTGCCCAGGCTGGTCTCAAACCCACAGGCTCAGGGAATCCACTTGCCTTGGCCTCCCAAAGTGCTGGGATTACAGGCTGAGCCACCGAGCCCAGTCGTGAATTTTACCTTATACGGCAAAAGGGACTTTGCAGATGGGATCGAGTTAAAGAGCATGGGATAGGGAGATTATCCTGGGTGATCCAGGTGGGCCCAAAGTAACCCCAAGGGTCCTTCTTATGAGAGGGACCTAAGAATGAGAAGAAAGTGCTGTGATCACGGAAGCAGAGGAGAAAATGGGGTGCAACACAGGACTGTGAGCCAGGGATGATGGCAGCCTCCAGGATCTGGAGAAGGCATGGAAAACGAACTTCCTCTGAGGTTCCCAGAAGGAACCTGCCTGCTCTGACACCGAGTTTCACTCTGTAAGACTTACTTTGTACTTAAAACCTCCAGAACTACAAGAGAAGAAACATGGGAGCCTTCTAGCCACCAAGTGCGTGGCAATTTAGCACAGCAGCAATAGGAAGGGAATGCAGCTTTCACGTATGTACCAAGCACAGTGGCTCACGCCTGTAATCCCAGCTCTTTGGAAGGCTAATGCAGGAGGATCACTTGACCCCAGGAAGTTGAGGCTGTATGAGCCTTGATCATGCCCCTGCACTCCAGCCTGGGCAACAAAATGAGACTGACTCAAATAAAAACAACATGTAATAAAAAAATAAAAAACAAATGTGTATCTCTAGCCCAAACCTCTTTCCAGAAGACCAGACTTCAGAGTTACTTGCCTGCTAGGCATCTGTCTCCCCTTGGATCTATCTACCACAGTGCATCAAACACAACATAGCTGGAACTCAAACTCAACTCTGTGTGTTTCCTCTCCCCAGCAACCCCAGTCCCGGGGGTGAGGGTGTCCTGAGCTCTCTCCCTCATTATAAAACCACCATTGTCTACCAGGAGCCCACCGTTAGCCCCTAAGTCTCAGAGGCCCCACCTCTTTCTAGCCCATCCCCTTGTCTGTTGTTACTGCCACGGTTTTTGTGGAGGTGCCTTCAGCTCTTACCCAGATCACTGTTACCTCTTCTAACCACTCTCCCAGTCTCTAACCTCGTTTTCCTTCTGTGCTGACACAGTTTTAAAACTAACATCGTGTCCTGTCCCTGCCATATGTCATGCTTACATGGTACTTCCTAACCTTGGGATAACACCTCAGCTCTTTCGCCCAACAGAGTCCTTGGCCATCCTCACAACTTCCTCTCCAGCTTTCTTTCTCATCACGCCTTAGCTCACACCCTTCCTTTGAGCCTCATTAGTGACTGCAGTTCCACAAACACATCATGTCTTCTTATTCCTTGGCTAATGTTACTCCCTCTGCTGACTTCTTGCCTCTACCTAGCAAGCTTCCACTCATCTTTCAACACTTTCAACACTTTTCCAACTTACCTTTCAAACCTTTCTTTGGCAAGATTTCAGCCACAATCTGTTCCTGGTTAGAAGCATCCTGTGTGTGCTCAAAGTGCCACTCACAGCACTGGCCTCAAGTTAGCTGTTCACTTTCCTCCTCTTCTAGATGGACTCTATGCTCCTGAAGGGTGAGAACTGTGACTGTAATTTTGTTTTGCTTGTTTGTTTGTTTGTTTGTTTGTTTTGAGTTTTTTTTTGAGTTGGAGTCTCACTCTGTCACCCAGACTGGAGTGAAGTGGCTGCTCCCAGCCACCACAGCCTCGACCTGCTGGGCTCCGGCGATCCTTCTGCCTCAGCCTTCCAAGTAGATGGAATTACAGGCA